ACTCCTCCATCTCGAATATCGATTACTGTTTACTAATAAACTCTGACTGACTGGACGACGAGACAAGGTCGTCACGGTTAATAATAATAATAATAAATAACAAAAATCATATGATAAGAAAATATTTTGAACTATTTGTTTGATAACTATTTATTAACTTTCCGTAGGGCAAGTTATAGTAATCGCAAAAAAATCGAAAATGAAAATTTTTATATATCTTTACGTTTAAATACCTTCTGAACATTTTCGCATACCTTAGAAAAAGTGGATGTATGCATGTGTGTGTGTGTGCGTGTATGTATGTGTGTGCGGATACAAATTTTCGTCGACGATTTCGGGAACACGGATGAACCGATTTGAATAATTCAAAAAACATTCGATTCGTATTGATAAGGAGACGTGCTGATTAGTTTTTGGCGAAGGCAGGTCTAGCCGTTACGAAGATACGGGGCAAAAAGTGCCGAAAATGGTAAACTCAGTTTTTAAGAGAACGGAGCGTCCGATTTGAATAATTCAAAAAACCATTTTACTTGCATTGACAAGATGAAGAATTGATGATTTCATGAAGGCAGGTCTAGCGGTTTCGGAGACTTAATTAAAAAAGTAAAAAAAATGCAATTCGGCGGTTAAAATGATCATTAGACATATGCACATCAAATTATCAGATATTTTATAGAGATTTTAACAATAAGTATAATTTTTTTTACATTTCTATGGCGTTCCGACCATGCTTATGCGTTAGACGGCGGCGCGGCACTTGCGCGCTTTTTGACATTTCGTCTCTATGCAGTTCAAGCAGTACGATTGCTTTGAAAAAAAGTTCAGAATTTCCAAAATATGTTAAAAAAAAAAATTTTTTTTAAAAAGTAATTTTTGTCAAATTTATAGTTTCTCAAAAATCTAATTTTTTCGAAGTAATTTTTTTTCAAAAATGTTAATCGTTTTTAAAAAAATAATACTTTTTGGTACGGGAAGTTCCAGCAATTTGCCTTAAGGCACGATGCCTTAATTGCCTTAAGACAGAATTCCACTTACAGTTAGTTTGAATTGATTTAGTCTTTCTCACACGTACTCGTTCACTTTCGCACACACACTATGCTGTTGTAAATGTGCTTGCTCTCTCTTTCGCACACGGGGATGTCCGGCTGCTCTTGGCAAACTTTAACCCTTTCCACTCGGATGCCGTCGCTCCGGCGGCAAAATTCATATAAATTTCGGAATTCGTGAGTGAAAAAAAGAGGTTAAATTCTATATATAATAAGAGTTTAAAAACTATATATAACTCAAATTGTATAAATAAATGTTATTATTATTTACTTTTTACTGTGTTGTATGTTATTTTTTTATTATCGCAAAATTATATAGTATTTTGATTATAACGTTATTTAATATTTATTTTTCGAAATATAGTATTTCGCAGTTGCAGGAATAACGATAAGTCGAATAAACAGATAAGAGCAAAATGTAAACCAAGGTGTTCTATTGCAAATACGAAATGCATACGTGTGTGATATATGCAAAATATGCGAAAACTTTTGCAAACGTTGTAATAGGATAGTTTATATATAAACTAATATTATATTTCATTATACCATAAAATTGTAAACAAAAAAGTTGGTTTTTCAAGATTAGAAGTTTTAATTTCTTATTTTATATACAGGTTACCCCCGTACAAAGAACTATTACAAAAAGAGCGGTTACATTCCAAGAATTTAAAAAAACATGCTAGAGATAATGATTTTATAATAAATATTGTTACATTTATTCGTTTTTTTTAAAGAAGTAATATACATTACTTGAATTATATGATATTTTTCGTCATAATTAACAAGTAAGTGCTATCCAACATGATCCTTTTTTTGCAAGATATACTCATCCTCTGAGCAGTTTTTTGTACTACCTCCAGATCCGTGCATTATTTTTTGCAAAAAAAAATATATTTGTGATTACCTGCTTTTAGCAAAATGATATTTATAGATTACACACTATAAAGTAATCTGTATTAAACTTTTATGCTCATTTTATTTAAAGAATTGATTAAGAATTATTTAATATATTTTTCTACGCGTTCTCACAATATGAATAGTCAAAGTAGTTATCTGTTGCACTATTTTCATCACATTTATGTACGGCGATTTTACTAATTTTAGATTAAATAAAGTTTACTCTTACTAACTCACTTTGCGGACATCAGAATTCTTTTTAGAGGTATGGTTTCTTCAGAAAAGTATCTTATTAAGTATCCCTAGTATCCGAAAATCATATGTGCCTCAGCGACTTTTTTGAGCCATACAAATCGGCTAGCTCTAGTGTATATATATATTTTATTGTTTGTGTGTTTTGCAAATGATTCTATTAACCTCTGACAATTAATTCAGTCGATCCGTTTTTTCTAAGAAACTCAAAACAAACTCTGACGTCTTCTAACAAGTTTGCTTTGTCATTTCTGCGAAAAAAATGTCGCCTTGTTTAAACAAAACTACATAAATAAATTATGCCACGTAAGAAGTTGTCGAAAGTTGTAAAACATAACGTACTTTTCCATTTATTTAATGGGGGTAAATAGTTAATTGTTAAATTAGTTAAAATGCTTGGTTTAAACTAGTGAGACCAAATTGGCAAAAGTGGATTCCATTAATTAATTATTAAGAATTTTAGGGCTCATATTTTCAAAGCCGTTTTTGTTTTTTCATATTTTCAAAGATACGCATCCATGGTACCTAGATTGTGTGTACCTAGAAAAAATCCTAAAAATTTTGTTTTTTTTTTTTTTAATTTTGGAGTTTTTTTATATTCACGTTTATATTCACAATAAATACACCTGATATCTTACTAGGCGTCCTCAAAGTCCAAACATTGTTGCAAATCCAGTTTTATATTAAAAACGTGTAAAAACTTAAACTAGCAGCAACACAATTTTGTGCCAAAAAATATGTACTTCCACTATTTTTATTAATTAAATTATTTTTTTATAGTTAAATTTGTCTTCGTGGCGAAAATGGTGATTCAGAAATCGTTCCCATGCGTTCAAAAGTTATTTTAAACGAAATCTCCTCAATCTCAAGTGATTTATACCGATTTTAGACTAATATTTTAGACCGTACACGTGCTTATATAATATATATATATAATATATATATATATATATATATATATATATATTTAAACGTATATAATTGTATGAAAGTGGAACGCGATCGCCATCAATGCCAGTTTGCTAAAAATAAACCTAAATAATATTAATTTGTATAAATGGACTGCGGAGAGAGAAATCCTTTTAAGCTTATTTGCTCACATAAAAAATATCGATACTAAATATTTTGCGAAAGATATAAAAAAAATCTTATCTTAAATCTTATTATTAGGCTTTGCTCCATTTTAACAAATATTAAAGAAAATACTCTTATATATTATTAAGGAAAGTGTTATTAGCACTGGTCCAAACCAGTTTCTCTTTCATAGATTACAATTGTCTCCATGATTTTATGTTATCATAAACAAGTTCGATAATTTATTTCTAATTATAAACATTTTTAATTATAACAGAAGTATTGAATTTTTATAAAATCCATCGAATTATAAATTATAAATTTATATTTGATTAATTTACGTTTCAAATTAAAAAAAATCTGTATTTTAGTTTTCATATTGTACGTGATTTAAGTTTCCGTACCAATAGTAATAAAAATAAAAAACGCTACGAGCGTCGTCTATAGGCGACATCCACATGGCGACCAGTATGTACGAATGTCGCCTATAGGCGACATCTAATTAAACGAATTTTGTTTCAATATTTATGACTCTGAGTTAAATTATTTGGAACTCGTTATTATGGTTTTAAATACATTTTTATCAATAATGATTAATTTTTTTTTAATATTTTGAATTGCAAATACACGGGGCGGCTTGCTGGCTCGTACATCGGTGGTCAAACACTCTGGAAGAAAAAGGGTTAATATTCATTTCATGAAAATTAAAGATTCTAAACTCATTATAAAATGATTTAACTAGTGGTGTATGGCATCGTACCTAAAGGCAAATTGCTGGAACCTCCCGTACCGTAACGAAATGATCGAGGAATAATAAATGTTGTGTTATAGGTATATAAAATAGATTGGTATAAATAATTTAAGATTGTCTAGTATTTATAAGAATTATATAAACTGAAATACAAAGTTAAAATTATTTATTTAAAGTAATTAGCTTTAGAACTTTAGCCAGAATTAAAATTAAAATCTAAATTATTTACGATATACAAAAAAAATGGAAAAAATTGGAATTAAAAATTTTCTCGCCAAAAACAAATATTTTGCCAACACAAGCAGAATGGTTTTTGGATCATTCAAATCGGATACTCTGTTCTCTTAAAAACTGGGTTTCTAATTTTTGCACTCTTTACTCCGTATCTTCGAAACGGTTGGACCTGCCTTTACCAAAAACTAATCACCACTTCTCCCTATCAATAGGAATCGATTGATTTTGAAATTTTTCAAATCGGTTCATCCATCGTCGACAAAAAATGTCTCCTCTTATACACACATATATTTTTCTGAGATATGCCAAAATGTTCAGAAACCTCTGGAACGTGAAAAGATGCAAAAATTTCATATTAGATATTCGGCCCATTACAATAACTTACCCTACAACAACTTTACCTCATTATTCATCCATAAAGAATCGTTATTTTCAGATTCAATATTTTCTATTTTTGCTATCACGTGATCGGTTTTTAAGAATTTTTGGATTTCCCCTTGGTGATATGTGATGATATCCCCTACCCAACTACACGTTTATCATTAGTACCTAGAAATATTAAAAAAAAATTGGATCATTTTTTAAATTTTGGGTTTTATTTAAATTCAGGTAATTAAATACACGTGATATCATACTAGACCCCTTACTGTACGACGTGATGTTTCGCCATTACTCGTCCGTTATTTACAGTATATTTATTTTTATCATTATCCATTTTAATTTTCACTTATTTTCCTCCTTTTCAGCGATGAGAAGAGCGATTTGGCCCTCGACATAACCGACACGGTGTTCATAGGAGATGCAGACGACCTCACACCAGAGACGCAATGTCCAGCCTCACCCACGACTGTGCCACACGTGTCGGGCACCAAATCGCCCAGACAAGTGTCTTCGGGTAAATGGAAGACAACGATAAATTCAAATTCAAAGATAAATTTAAATAGTTACCCACTACTATATTAATTATCTCAGGTTCTCAGAGGTCTCCGAGACCCAGGAGACAGAGGACCACGTCCATGTCCCAATCGAAGAAGACTGCCGCGGAGTCAATTATTCAAACGCACCATAGGACTATATACACGGCTGGTAGGCCGCCCTGGTACGATTGTGCAGGACAGCAAGTCGAACCATTTGTCATAGGTAATAAAGATATTTACGGTACGAGATTATTTTTTGCAAGAACTATAACACAGGTCAACAAAGAAAATGGTGCAAACGATTTTAATACTGTTTTTAAGTATATTTGGGGCGCTGATTTCAAAAATGACATTGGTTTTTTTCTATGAGCTTTAGTTTTCAAGATACGATATATATGATATATTTTACGATATTAGGTGCGCAACTAAGTTCTCGCTGTTTTTTCGATGAAAAGTAACTTTATTATAAAAAAATTGCATCAATTGAGTTAGATACAACATTTACATTAGCTCTTACATTTGAGGCACCAAAAAAAAAGTTTTTTTGTTGGCCTGTGTAATATTCCATTATCTTTAATCAAAAACAATTCGAAACTTTTTGATATAGCTTCGTCCTCCTCAAACTACAACAGTAGACACAAACTTATTAAGGCGCGCACATAGAAATTAGCCAACTCTTTCAATACGATCGACGGTCTAGGTATTCAGCTTATGAATAAACTTCCACTCAATATCCGAAACTTAGACAGCAAAAAATTTCATGCTTCCCTAGTTAAACTTTTTAAAGACATAGCTTTTTATGACATTACTGAATTTTCTCAATTTGAATTCAATAACTATTTTCTTGCATAGTCCTTATCCTGTATCTATAAGTCTGACCATTTGATCGCCTGTACAACCATTATTTTTTTTTTATTTTTATGTTTTTATTAATTTAAATTTTTTACGGTTTTAAATGAGTATAACTTTCAACCTTGGGCAAGAATTTTGAGCTTGACTGATGGTCAAATAGACTCTAATATGATGAACTTGATGATGAACATTGTATTTAATGTTCGAATGCTTTTTTTCAGCTCTTTTTTTCAGAAGCGAAATTCGTGCAGCTACTATGATTATTATAAAATTACTATCCTTTTAATATTAACTATGAATAAGCTTGACAAGAGCCTGAAATAATATCTATTATTAACTTCCCGTAGGGTAAGTTATAGTAATCGCAAAAAAATCGAAAATGAAAATTTTTATATATCTTTACGTTTCAGAGGTTTCTGAATATTTTGGCATACCTTAGAAAAAATGGATGTATGTGTGTGTGTGTGTGTGTGTGTGTGTGTGTGCGTAGTATGTATGTGTGTGCGGATACAAATTTTCGTGGACGATTTCGGGAACGCGGATGAAGCAATTTAAATAATTCAAAAAACATTCGATTCGTATTGATAAGAAGACGTGCTGATTAGTTTTTGGCGGAGGCAGGTCTAGCCGTTCCGAAGATATGGGACAAAAAGTGCCAAAAACGCTACCTATGTTTTTAAGAGAACGGAGCATCCGATTTTAATAATTCAAAAAACATTTTACTTGTATTGACAAGATGAAGAATTGATCAAATTTTCATAGGGGCAGGTCTAGCGGTTTCGGAGATATAACAAAAAAAGTAAAAAAAAAATGCCATTTGGCGGTCAAAAATGATCATTAGACATATGCACATCAAATTATCAGATATTTTATAGAGATTTTAACAATAAGTATAAATTTTGTTTACATTCCTATGGGTTCCGTACCAATGTTTACCCGTTAGACAGCGACGCGGCGTAATACGCGCTTTATATTTTGTCTCTATGCAGTTAAAGCAGTACGATTGCTTTGAAAAAAAGTCCAGATCTTCCAACATATGTCAAAATAAAGAAAACATTTTTTTTCAAAAAAAAAAAAATATTTTATTTTTTTTTTTTAATTTTTTTTTTCATAAAAAATAATTTTTTGTCCAATATATAGTTTCTAAAAATCTTATTTTTTCGAAGTAAAATTTTTTCAAAAATGTTAATCGTTTTTAAAAAAATAATAATTTTTGGTACGGGAAGTTCCAGCAATTTGCCTAAAGGCACGATGCCTTAATTGCCTCAAGACAGAATTCCATTTACAGCTAGTTATTGATTACGGCTTGCTTATGAATAAATAAATAAATAAACTATTGTATGAGTCAGCAAGTCGTCCAAATGATTATTATGTAACATTTTAAAAATTTTCAATCATTATTATAACATTGCATTTAAATATTAAAAATTATACTTCCATAGACTGCAATATTGCAGTAGTTAATTAGAATTTTTAATAATTTTAGTATGATAGATATTGAAGCAAAAGTCGTAACCATGGGGGTGAACACAGAACAACTGTGCTTTATACTGTTTTAGTGTTTTTTCACACTCAACAGAAGGTGTACTGTGTCCAAATTTCACTACTCTTTTAAAAAAACTGATTCTTGAAATACATGTACTTTAAATGTTAAATTTGTTTTCTATTATATATTTTTGTGAGAACGTATTTGAGATTTTGTTAAAGATAAATTTCTACCTTGCTTTACCTTTGTCATATTATATATGTATTAACTTCCCGAAGGAGACTTTTATGTTTGCATCAAAAAATCCGATTCGCTAATTTTATGTTTTCTCGACGATTCAAGCCATTCTGAATCGAATGAGACCAAATTTAAGGAAAAAGTATGTATGTGTGTGTATGTGTGTTGGCCATAAATCGACGTTTTCTCAAAAACGGCTGGACCAATTTCAAAAATTTAAAAGCCACTCGATGTATCTCGATGAGGACTATTGTTTGTCAGTTTTGTGCGATGATCAGCCAAGCCGTTTCTTTATAAATAGCATAAAAGTGATTTTCCGTCCACGTTTTAGCTCGCAATTCTGAAACGATTTTGAAGATTCAAAAACCGTTTGAGAAATATTGGTTGGGAATCGTGCTGATTAGTTTTTAGTAAAGATCGGCCGGGCCGTTTTCTTGTAATAAAGTGTTGAAAATTTTTTTATCGATGATTTTTATCTTTTTTTTTGACGGTAGATACCATAGTCTTATAGATCATACTAAAATATTAAGGCCCTACGACAAGTCGTTTAATTTTAAAAATTCTTCAAAGTTTGCAAGAATTAGTATCATTTTTTGGCATTTGTCAAAATTAGACCTTTCATCGACGTTTTCTCAAAAACGCCTAAACCGATTTCAGAAATTTAAAAGCCATTTGATATATCTCGATGAGGATTATTATTTCTCAGTTTGGTGCGACGATCGGCCGAGCCGTTTCTTTGTAATTTGGAAAAAAGTGTTAAACTTTTCGTCCACATTTAAGCTCATACTACCGAATCGATTTTAAAAAATCAAAAAACTGTTCGAAGGATATTCTTTTAATTCAATCAATTATTTCAGAATTGTACTGATTACTTTTGGACAAAGATCGGCCGAGCCGTTTGTTTACATTGAAAATTTTTTTCAATGTAATTTTTTATGTTGATAGACGATGATGGTCCTAAAGAACATACTAAAATTTTTGCGAACTTCATCAAAGTTTGGAAAAAAATTATCGCTTTTGTGATGTGATGAGTCAAAATTTGAATACTACAAATTTGAAAGCCATTTTTTTTCAAGTCAGGAATAATGAGTCTAAAAAACATCTCTAGTTATGTAAAAAATGTTACTATTAATTTAAATCATTAAACAAGTTGTGTATGGCATCGTGCCTTAAGGCAAATTGCTGGAACTTCCCATACCGTAACGAAATTTTCCAGGAATATTAAATGTTTTCAAATAGATTATTTTAAATAAATACTGTAACATTGTCTAATATTTATAAGAATTATATAAACTGAATTACGAAGTTATTTATTTAAAGTATATAAGTTAGCATTAAAACTTTAGCCGGAATTAAAATTAAAATCTGCATTATTTTCGATATACATTTTTTTTTTTAATTTGAAAAAAAAAAAGTTGTAATATTTTTTTTCCAAAAGCAATTATTTTGTCAAAACAAGCAGAAAGTTCTTTGAATAATTCAAATCGGAGTTTCTCTTTTAGTTCTCTCAAAAACTACCATTTTTTGCACATTTAGCTCGGTATCTCCGAAACGGCTGGATCTGTTTTTGCCAAAAACTAATTACCATTTCTCCCAATCATCACAAATTGAATGTTTTCTAGATAATTCAAATCGGATGCTCCGTTCTCTCGAAAGCTCGATTTCTATTTTCTGCACTTTTTGCTCTTTATCTCCGTAACTGCTGGACCTGCCTCTGCCAAAAACTAATCAGCACGTCTCCCTATCAATTGGGATCGAATGTTTTTTGAATCTTTCTAATCGGTTGATTCGTGCGCCCGAAAACGTGAACGAAAAAATGCGGGCATACAAAACACACACACACATCCATTTTCTCTGAAGTACCCCAGTAAAGGGTTCAGAAACCTTCAAAACGTGAAAATATGCAAAAATTTTCATTTTCAATTATCGGGCCATTACTATAACTTACCCTACGGGAAGTTAATAATATCAATGACTTTATCAAGTTGATTAAGTCACTTTTTGGAAAGTTCATGCAACTTGCCTTAAGGCAAAATGCCACTTACTACTAGTTCTATTATAGTTTTTTGTCGTAGGTATATGTGGTGGAAGTGCTTCGGGTAAAACTACAGTTGCCACCAAGATTATTGAATCGTTAGGTGTCCCTTGGGTAACACTGTTATCGATGGACAGCTTTTACAAGGTACATACTATTATCAAATACATATCCAACAACGGTAATAAATAATATTATTACCATCTAGGTTTTAAATGAGAAGCAGCACCACTTGGCCGAAAGCAACGAGTACAACTTCGATCACCCGGACGCCTTCGACATCGAACTTATGTCGAAAGTGTTGCAAAGACTGAAAGAGGGCAAGAAAGTCGACGTGCCGATTTATAATTTCGTTACACACTCGAGAGAGAACAGAACGGTAATTAAACCAGTAGTGATTTTCATAGAAATGTTCTGTTTTTGTAACCATTCATTGTGATGATAATATTTAGAAAACAATGTATGGCGCTAATGTGATAATATTCGAAGGCATCTTGACTTTCCACAGCCCCGATATATTGAAGATGCTCGATATGAAGATTTTTGTGGATACTGATGCTGATATTCGATTGGCTCGAAGACTCAAACGGTAATAAAGGACATATATACATATATATGCATCTAGACATCAACATTTAAAATTCAGAGTTTATCATGTTTTCTTTTTCCTAGTGATATTACTGAAAGAGGTAGAGATCTGGAAGGTGTCCTCAAACAATACAGTACGATGGTCAAACCTTCATATGCAAATTACATAGCACCCACGATGGCACATGCTGATATAATTGTGCCTCGGGGTGGTGAGAACACAGTCGCTATACAATTGATTGTGCAGCATGTCCAAGCTCAATTACAAATCGTAAGTGAATCGGAATATTCAATATATATTTCTTATATATAAAAATGGAGCTCTCGATAAAATGATCCGCTAAAACTCGAAAACGGCTAAACCGATTTGGCCAGTCTTAGTCTTGAACAATTCGTGCTAATCAGTAGGTTGTCGGAAAGGTGAAATATTATTTCAAAATCTAAGTAGAAACTTTACATTTTTAATTTGAACATTTTTTGTAGAAGCGTAATTTAAAATGAAACAATGAACGGTGGCTATTACGTCAAATGTCAAACTTTTAATAGGATGTTTTACGTGTATATTATTTAATTATGATCAAATAGTAGTAAGTAGTTTTGTTTGTAGTTATATTTAAGCACAAAAACGTTATTAAATGTATAGCAAGTGTTACTAGAAACTCAAAATATCAACTTTTTTGAAATGTTAATATGAAAATGCACTTTTTCACATATTTTTCTCAAACACGGTGCTCTGAAAGAACTCATTTGTATAATTATATACTCATTGGTATTTATAAAACATTTTCCAGGTTATATTATTTTTTATTTATGTAATTTAAATTCAGAACCTAAATTTGGCATCGATCAAAGGGACATTTTGTCGAATAACATTTTCCCAGTTATAATTTCCCAGAATTTATCGAAGAATAGATAGAAATATATGAAGGTCCGGGGTTAAAAAGGTCCACCACCGATGTGCCAAAAACCAGTAAAGTTAAGCATCTTATGACCCTGCTATCGGGAGATAAACGGCAATCTTTGAAAGTCCATAATAAAAGTATTTTCTTCCGTTGGTAGTTTTTCAGCATTAGTTAAAAATGTAATTATTTTGTAAAATACCTTTAAAATTAAAATATGACATTAAACCTGTTTGCCACCTGGCAGATCCCAGTTACTCCGCCTATAGGGTAAAAAGGTCTAGATGACAAATTTTTGAAAGACATCAAAAAAGCATATTTCTACGATGATGAAGTAGCTGGCAGTTTTACTGAACGTAGTCAGATAATTGTTCGTTAGAAATGTGTTATTTGTTGTGATATAATTGGTTGATTTGTTTTAATATAATTACTATTTGCTCAAAGTCAAATTTGACCTTTGTGCCTCGCCCTACTCTACATATATACATTTTATTTACTTTAATTCCTCGAATGTTACTTGAAACTTTTCAAAAAGCAGGTCAAACAAGAAATACTTAATTCATTTTCTATCTCTCTTCGCAGAAATTTGAAAATTTTGTATAAGATTATTAGTATTATTTACAATTATACAAAAAATCCAGAATTCAAAAAGAATGTGAAAAACTTGAAACATAATCAGTAAGTCGAAAGACCAAAAAAAAGACTTGGATTGGATTATACCATGTTTTCAATAAAAAGTGTATAAAACTTCCAGTTTGATTGAATTGACAAAATATAGACAAACTAATGGGGTTTATTGTTTTTATAATACCTCATTGTATATAGCATTCAAACAACACATCCTTCTTATACACTTAAAGAATTAATATTTTTGATCCTCTAGAAATTGTTTAGAATATACCTTACTCAGCAAAACAACGTTTGCCGGGTCAGCTAGTATATATATGTCTATTTTTTTCAGAGAGGTTTCAAACTCCGTGAAAAACTGGCCCACGCCCACATGGGCCAACCGTTGCCTAAATCACTGCATTTATTACCAGCGAGTCCTCAAGTCAGAGGCCTTCATACATTCATAAGATGCAAACACACTCCCAGAGACGAATTCATATTCTACTCGAAGAGATTAATAAGGCTCGTGATAGAGTTTGCATTGAGTTTTCTGCCTTTCAAGGATGTCACCGTCGAGACTCCTCAGGGAATACAATATCAGGGTAAGGGAAACAGATGGGTAAGGAAAATGATTTATATAATGTTGTGATTTTAATTTTTTTTATTTTAGGTAAATCTGGTGCCAGCAATAAAATCTGTGGTGTGTCGATTTTAAGAGCTGGTGAAACTATGGAACAAGCCGTTTGTGATGTTTGTAAAGATATCAGGATTGGTAAAATTCTGATACAGACGAATAGGATGACTGGTGAACCAGAGGTACTTTTTTAACTTCCCGTAGGGCAAGTTATAGTAATCGCAAAAAAATCGAAAATGAAAATTTTTATATATCTTTACGTTTCAGAGGTTTCTTAACATTTTGGCATACCTTAGAAAAAATGGATGTGTGTGTGTGTGTGGTGTGTGTGTGTGTGTGTGTGTGTGTTGTATGTATGTGCGGATACAAATTATCGTCGACGATTTCGGGAACACCGATCAACCGATTTGAATAATTCAAAAAACATTTGATTCGTATTGATAAGGAGACGTGCTGATTAGTTTTTGGCGAAGGCAGGTCTAGCCGTTCTGAAGATACGGGGCAAAAAGTGCCGAAAACGGTAACTCAGTTTTTAAGAGAACGGAGCGTCCGATTTGAATAATTCAAAAAACATTTTACTTGTATTGACAAGATGAAGAACCGATCAAATTTTCATAAAGGCAGGTCTAGCGGTTTCGGAGATCTAATGAAAAAAGTAAAAAAAAATGCCATTCGGCGGTTAAAAATGATCATTAGACATATGCAAATCAAATTATCAGATATTTTATAGAGATTTTAACAATAAGTATAATTTTGGTTTACATTTCTATGGGTTCCGTACCAATGTTTACGCGTTAGACGGCGACGCGGCGCTTACGCGCTTTGATATTTCGTCTTTATGCAGTTAAAGTAGTACGATTGCTTTGAAAAAAAGTTTAGATCTTCCAAAATATGTCAAAATAAAATAAAACATTTTTTTTTCAAAAAAAAAAAAAAAAAAAAAAAATATTTTTTTAAAAAAAAGTAAATAAGTAATAAAGGAAGTAAATTTTTTTCAAAAATCTTAATCGTTTTAAAAAAAAAAAAAATTGGTACGGGAAGTTCCAGCAATTTGCCTTAAGGCACGATGCCTTAATTGCCTTAAGACAGAATTCCACTTACAGCTAGTTTAGTTATATAATTATACTAGATGACCCGACAGACATTGTCATGTGCCCACGCCTACAATTTTTTGATATCCTATACTAATATTTACTGTTTACCTAAAAATGATAATAAATTACTGTGCATACCAAAATAAGTGATGTTAAATGTAGGAACTGCTTTAAATAAAACTAGCTGTAAGTGGAATTCTGTCTTAAGGCAATTAGGGCATCGTGCCTTAAGGGAAATTGCTGGAACTTCCCGTACCGCAATTCAAAGTTCGAGTAATTAAAAATAATCAGTAATAATAATCAATAAAAGTTGATCAATAATTTGAAACTTTTAATAGAATTTCGAACCGTATTAAATCATTATATCTTAAATCATTTATTTTGAAATATTTTGGAAATTCTGAACTTTTTTTCAAAGCAACCGTACTGTTTTAACTGCATAAAGACGAAATATCAAAGCGCGTAAGCGCCGCGTCGCCGTCTAACGCGTAAACACTGGTACGGAACTCATAGAAATGTAAAAACAAAATTCATACTTATTGTTAAAATCTCTATAAAATATCTAATAATTTGATGTGCATATGTCTAATGATCATTTTTAACCGCCGAATGGCATTTTTTTTACTTTTTTACTAGATCTCCGAAACTGCTATACCTGCCTTCATGAAAATTTGACCAATTCTTCATCTTGTCAATACAAGTAAAATGTTTTTTAAATTATTAAAATCGAACTCTCCGTTCTCTTAAAAACTGAGTTACCGTTTTTGTCACTTTTTGCCTCATATCTCCGAAACGTCTAGACCTGCCTTCGCCAAAAACTAATCAGCACGTCTCTTTATCAATACGAATCGAATGTTTTTTGAATTATTCAAATTGCTTCATCCGTGTTCCCGAAATCGCCGACGAAAATTTGTATCCGCACACACATACATACACGCACACACATACATCCATTTTTTCTAAGGTATGCCAAAATGTTCAGAAACCTTTGAAACGTCGAGAAATGCAAAAATTTTCATTTTCGATTTTTTTGCGATTACTATAACTTGCCCTACGGGAATTTAATGATGAGTCTCATTTCTCACGGTAATCATTGAAATTGAAGTCTTTTAAACGGTATAACAAATTCAGAAAAAAATTAATATATAGTAGCGGTAAAAGTACAATACCATCTTGGATTTTTCCACCCAAAATAATTGCTCCAATAATAATGTCGCCTTTAATTTTTATAACCTCGTAATACATTTTAACTAGTTCTTAGTGATTATAATGTCTAAATTACATTTTTCTTAGTAATAATTTATTATATAATATTACCAGGGACGCTGATTTTTACAATTTTTTTCCATTTATTTCTACAACATTACTATATTTTTATAACCAGATACATCCTAAAAAAATTCCTTAACAAACTTCAGAAAGATTTATCCAAATCGGAATAATCGTTTAGGAGGAGTATATTTACATACATCATTACAGACGAATTTTATATATATAAGTTTATTGTGATTGTTATTTATTTCCCTTTCTAGTTATATTATCTAAGACTGCCAAAAGATATAAAAGATTACAAAGTGATACTGATGGATGCAACAGTTGCCACAGGAGCAGCTGCGATGATGGCCATAAGGATTCTTTTGGATCACGATGTCCCTGAATCGAATGTTTTTGTGGTTTCTTTACTGATGGCCGAGATCGGTGTGCATTCTATAGCCTATGCTTTTCCACAGGTAATAATAGTAATGACAATATATATATATATATATATATATATATATACCAGCTGGCCCGGCAAAAATATTTCTAGATAATTTTTAGTATAAAAAATAACTGATTTTGAACATAGAAGTGCATGGTATATACAGGGGGCGTCCATAATCACGTGATCGATTTTTTAAGGATTTTTGGACTCCCCTCTCCCCCTTGGTGATACGTCGTGATATTTAGAATTACCTCCCCTCTCCTCCACCAAATATCACGTGTATTTTTAGATAAGTACAATATTCTGAAGAAACTTTTTGAATCGTAAGAACGTAGTTTTTTTTTTTTTTTGAAAATTTAGGTAAAAAATAAATACACGTGATATCTTACTAGATCCATCCCTCCCCCACGTGATTTTTCGTGATTTTTTGTTTATCTATTATCTAAGAATTGTTTAGAAAATGTTGCAGTGGATAGAGCGGATAAATTTAAGAGATTTAATAGACTCAGACAAATTTTGATCAAAAATCAATGAAAAACGTTCACAAAAAAGACGATAATTAATCAGTTATCGAGCTAAATGAAAAATGATGCGACTATTAAAATGACTGTTATGTTATAAGAAAGTTCAAATTAAAAAGTATTCAAAGTAAAAAAAAGTGTTAGAGTAGAATAACACTTGATGAATATATATTGTTTTTTGAAGTAAAAACATAAGCTTTTTTATAAACCCAAAAAAATCTGAACTAAATTAAGTTAAGAACATTCAATGACTGCACACAAGATGAAAAATTATTTGATTACTAAAATAACTATTACAAAATAGGGGTTTGCTGTAAGATTGTGAAAATTTAGGACTAAATTATTAACTAGAAAATTTAGGACTAGAATTAATAAAAAAGAAATAAAAGGAACTAGTTCAAGATATAAACTGGCGGTGTATGGTAACCTTAAGGCATCCATTTGCCTTAAGGCAAATTGCTGGAACTTCCCGCGCCTCAATGAAATGTTGGAGGAATCTCAAATTTTTTCAAATATATTATTATAAATACGATAATTATCATTATTCTTATTTTACAGACAAAATATAAGAGCTCATGAATTGGTCGAAACAACCTTATCTAATGTTTATAAGACTTATATAAACCGAATTGCAAAGTTAAAATCATTACTTTAAAGTATATAAGTGTTATAAGTTAGTAAAAAAAATAAATTTTGAAATTTAAAAAAATCCCACTAGCAATTGTTTCGTCAAAACAAGCAGAAAGTTTTTGGATCATTAAAATCGGATGCTTAGTTCTCTCAAAAACTGCCATTTTTTGCACATTTAGCTCCGTATCTCCGAAATGACTGGACCTGCCTTTGACAAAAACTAATCACCACTTCTCCCCATCATTACGAACTGAATGTTTTTTTGTATCATTCAAATCCGATACTCCGTTCTCTCAAAAACTCGATTTGTATTTTCTGCACTCTTGGCCCCATATTTCCGTAACGGCTGGACCTGCCTTTGACAAAAACTTAGCACATCTGACAGCACATCTAACTATCAATAGGAATCGAATGTTTTTTGAACCATTCAAATCGGTTGACCCGTGCGCTCGAAAACGTGGACGAAAAACTGTATCCATACAAACACAGATGCATATACCAAAATGTTCAGGAACCTTCAAAACTTGAAGAAATGTAAAAAAAAATTGATTTCGATTTTCGGCTCATTACTAAAACTACCCTACGGGAAGTTATAAATAATAATCTGTCAAATTGAATTATATGTGCAATCACTGAGAGTCCATAACCGTCAGACGCATGCGCAGACTGTTCATCTGCCAAACCATATACTGTATCTTATATTATTTTAATTTTTGGCACATCTCAGCTACTATTCGGCAATAATAATGTAAACATAACATTTTTCTTATTAATAATCATAAATATACTATATTTTAATATTGTCTTTGTCTATAAGTGAATGGAAATGTTTGGCAGATGACATTCTTCATTTGTTTTAAATATCAAATAATGCCTCAAATATTTTCAATGTTAATCAGTGATAAGCGGTTTTTTTGTAATTTTTTCCATTTATTTCTACAATCTAACTATATTTCTATATATCAAAAAATCCTAAAAAAATCCCTCAACTAAATTCAGATTTATCAAAATCCGAATAATCGTTTAGGAGAATTATCCTTTCATTCACCATTACAGAAGAATTTTATATATGAGAATATATAGAAATACTATGTCAATAGTTTATTCATCATATATATATTTTTCTTTTCCAGGTCCGTATTATAACATCGGCCCTGGATCCCGAAATTAATGAAAACTTCTACGTACTGCCAGGAATGGAAATTTCGGCGACAGGTACTTCGGAACCGAACCGTCGATCTAAATAATTTCCTTAAGGTTTAAGTAAAGTTTTTTTTTATACCTAAATATTTTACTACTACTTATTTACTTTATTACTTATCGATACAATATTATTATCTGAGTTATTTATTTAGAGACTAAGGAAAAAGAGAATAACTTAATTATATGAGTATAGAGAGGGTGAGCTTTAATTTTTATCGTTGACTGATGCATAAGATTTTTGACTGAAGATATTTAAAATTATTTTGTGATTATGAGTATTTATTGATTGTTTAAATTTTTTTGGATTTTAACGTGGTATCATTATAGATGAAGATGAAGCTATTTGAATGTCATGATGTCATGTATTTTTATAAAATGTACACGAGTTACAACAGTTTTGGACAAATGTGTATTGAGAAGCATTTTATTGCAGTCGTTGAGGTACTTATTATTTATATATATTACAAATGTTACGGATAGGACTGTACTTAGAAACTAAAGAGTATTTAAATTAGTATACATACATGTATATATATATATATATATATATATATATATGATATATATATAAACAAATGTATTCTGAGTGGATAAATAGATATTAATTTGGAAATATGAACAAACAACACTCTTTTTTGCACTAATTTATTAAATAATAATTTTCACAAACGTTTCGAGACTAGGTTTTTCTCATCATCAGTGTGTTATAATTTAAAATTTAAAAATAGGAAACCTAAATTAGCATTATGTGTTATCCGTTACAAGTCGTTCGATACTCCTCATATGATATACTTAGTATATCGAATGACTTGTAACGGATAACGCATAATGCTAATTTAGGTTTCCATATTTTTAAATTTTAAATTATAACACACTGATGATGAGACAAACCTAGTCTCGAAACGTTTGTGAAAATTATTATTTAATAAATTAGTGCAAAAAAGAGTGTTGTTTGTTTATATTTCCAAATTAATATATATATATATATATATATATATATATATATATTATATATACATATATATTTATTTATGTGTATGTATATTCTAATGATGTAAATTTTTGATAAATTTGTATATAGAAATCTGTTTCAATGTGTTCTTGGGTTATATATATGAATGGAGACAATTATGTAAAGATGAATAATATAAAAAATGTTTGCAACAATAACAGTACTCTTTATGGTACCTATCCTGAATCCTAAATATTTCAAATATAATATTCAGTACATTATAACTTTTAATAGTTCATTCGGTCAAACAAACTGTTCTTATAACTACTTCCATCAGTTTGTGTTTTATTTAAAATTTCGATATCCAAGTCTATGTAAAACTTTTTACTGAATACATTTTATCTAGTTTCTTATAATATGAATTAAGCAAGAAGTCCGGAACAAAACAAAAATTTTGAATCAAATTATTTGATGAACTGTAAAAGAACGTCCTAAATTCTATTTTCCTAATTGTTTTGGCAGCAAATAACTGTTTCAACCTGTTTTACTCAAAATTTTGATATTCAAGTGTAAAAAACACTTTTTACTAGATTTTTGTAAATTTTATCTAGTTTTTACTAATATGAATAAATCTAGAATTCCGAAACAAAAATTCCAAGATGGTTGAAAAAATGTAAAAAAATGTCCCTAAATTCCCTAAATTTACTCAAAATTTTAATACCCAAACGTGTATAACAGTTTTTAATTGATTTTAGAAAATTGTGTCTAGTTTTTACTAATATAAATATGATGGTATCATAAAAACGTTTCTTTGGCCAAAAAATTGTATTCTATAATTGGAGACCTAGCATTACAGACCTTCGTACTGTTATTTTACAAGACCTACAATGTGATACAAATGCAGTATAAATTTCAGGAGCATTACGAAGGAACTTTTAAACCAGTGGGGCGCATGGCATCGTGCCTTGAGGCAAATTGCTGGGACTTCTGTACCAAAAATTTTTTTTTTTTTAAAATTAACATTTTTGAAAAAAATTTACTCTGAAAAATTGATTTTTGAGAAACTAAATTTTGACCAAAAATTCACTTTTTTTTGAAAAAAAAGACATTTTGAAGAAAAATTTATTTTGAAATATTTTGGAAATTCGGAACTTTTTTTCAAAGCAATCGTACTGCTTTAACTGCATAGAGGCGAAATATCGAAGCGCGTAAGCGACGCGTCGCCGTCTAACGGATAAACATTGGTACGGAACCCATCGGAATGTGAACAAAATTTATACTTATTGTTAAAATCTCTATAAAATATCTGATAATTTGATGTGCATATGTCTAATGATCATTTTTGACCGCCAATGGCATTTTTTTTACTTTTTTACTAGATCTCCGAAATCGCTAGACCGGCCTTTATGAAAATTTGACCAGTCTTCATCCTGTTAATACAAGTAAAATGTTTTTTGAATCTTTTAAAATCAGACGTTCGTTCTCTTAAAAACTGAGTTACCGTTTTGGCACTTTTTGGCCAATATTTTCGGAACGGCTAGACCTGCCTTGCCGAAAACTAATCAGCAGAAGTCTCTTTATCAATATGAATCGAATGTTTTTTTAATTATTCAAATCGCTTTATCCGTGTTCCCGAAATCGTCGACGAAATTTGTATCCGCACACACACACATACATCAATTTTTTCTAACGTGTGCCAAAATGTTCAGAAACCTCTGAAACGTAGAGATATATAAAAAAATTATTTTCGATTTTTTTGCGATTACTATAACTTGCCCTGCGGGAAGTTCAATATCTTTTTGGGCCTGTTGGCAGGCAAAAAGACTTTCTTCCAAGTATAATTCAATAAGTGGATGCAATTTCGATTTGCTTGCGGCGCGATTTTGTAATTGACTAATTTATCAATCAATCAGATCGATAAATCATAAAACTGGAATCGATTTTTAACTTGTGAATTACGGTTATAAATAATGGCTAAAGTTGTTGTATTTTGATTACGTATAATTTGATTTATGACTTAAGTGGATGTTGGCTTGGAGCAACTTCTGGAAATGTACTCATTCTACAACCTGGATAATCAGGCAGTTTTCACTTGAGATTATATTTAAGATCTATAACCGCATATGGATTTTTTTTTATCATGCTGCTTTGTATCGAGCTGACCGAGGTTGGTGTGGATAGTTGACTAGCTAGTTTGTACTAGTCCTGATTCTTAATTATTACTCCACGACGGGCTCTATCATCGGTGTACAATGATGAAAAATCAGCTCTATATCAAGCAGTATGATAACAAATTTCGACTTGTGGTTGAAGATCTCAAATATAATTCTTGTCAGTATTAGATATACATATGTGGAATTGCTTAAAAAAATGATGACTCAATTTCCACACTATATTGGAAATTGAAGTCTTTTAAACGATATAACAATTCAGAAAAAATTCATTGGATTTTTTCACCCTAAATAATTGCTCCAATAATGTCGGATTTAATTTTTATAATCTCGTATCATATTTTAACTGGTTGTTAATAATTATATATCTAGATTACATTTTTCATAGTAATAATTTAATATACATTATTACCAGGGACGCTCCTGGGGTCCTCAGCGCCCGCATATCATTTTTTTTCTAGCGCCCACTCCCTCCTATCATTTTATTTGTTTTAATTGTTTATTATTAAAAATTATTATCATTAATTAATATTTGGCTTTTGAACTTTTACTTATTTATTTTAGGCATTTAATGCGATTTATTTTTATTAAACTAATCATAGAGAGCAAAAAAAAATCTAGCCTGTCATCATTGAAAATAACATAATATAACATGGTACTGTGTGGGATTATTTAATTTATTTTTTTACTATTCTTTGAGATCCAAAATTGCATCTTAAACTTCTTCTAATTGATATCGTAAGTGCCGAATCGTATGTATTCATCTTCACTTTCCTATTTGTTGTTTTAAAGTGAATTTTAACGTATTTAAAAGTATCGTGCCAAGATTAGTAAAAGATGCAAAGAAATTATATATTTCTTAAATTATATGGAAAAAAAACCATATTGAAAATTTCATATCCGAATCATGTGTTGTCGCATTCAAAGTTGGACTGGCCCTGATTAATACTAATTCCATTTTTTAAGTGATTAATTTGTCAAATCCTGTTCGTGTGGGTATCATTCAATCTGCCATACATATATTGTATCTATATTATTTAATTTCTGGCACATCTCAGCTGTTTTTCGGCAATAATAATGTAGACATTTCATTTTTCTTATTCATAATCATGAATTATAACACATATTCTAATATTGTCTAGGCTCATAAGGAAATTGGCATTTTTGGCAGATGGCATTTTTCATTGTTTTCAATGCCAAACAATATTTCAAAGAAATTTCAATGTCAAACAATGATATGTCGTTTTTTGAAATTGTTTCCATTTATTTCTATAATCTGACTATATTTCTGTAATTCAAAAAATTCAAAATAATTTCCTTAACAAACTTCAGAAAGATTTATCAAAATCAGAATAATCGTTATGAGGAGTATATTTACATACATCATTACAGAAGAATTTTATATATAAGGGATTTTGAACAGGGAACTTAAGGCTCTATGAGATGAATTTTATTACAAACTATATTTGTTTTTTATAGATGGGCAGTTGTCCCATCTCTATATAAGATTATTATAACAATTATAAACAATTAAGCAGTAGTAATCACTTTTTATTGATGCAATAATGCTTAGTAAGGGCTATTTTCTCTTGAAAATATACTGCTGTCTATATTTCCAAGTGAAAACCGATGTCCTTACTGCTTGACATCATGCTGATCGAAATATGATCACCCGGAATATGATTCAAATCAAGTCATTTTAACCAATTTTCAATAAATAATCAAATAAAAAACTATAAATAATACTCTAATTACTTATTAACTTTCCATAGGGCAAGTTATAGTAATTGCAAAAAAATCGAAAATGAAAATTTTTATATATCTTTACGTTTCAGAGGCTTTCTGAATATTTTGGCATACCTTAGAAAAAAAGGATTTCGAAAAAAAATACTCAGGCTCATAAAGCATGTAGTTCTGATCCCTGTTAAAAAAATGTATTCTAATAATGTCTGAATTTCGGGTCTCTGATTTAATTTCTAACCCTGTCCTATGGTTGGTCGAGAAACCCCACAGAGTCTTGTGCCTTCGAAATCATTGATAAATAAATCATTTGATCTCTGATCAGCTCGCATCTCGTTTTCTCTTCTCTTTTTGCCTTTTTGCCTTTAACTCACACACCGGTTTATCTGATTATGTATTTATTTATTTTGTAGCCACGGGCCACAAAACCGTTTCGCTTTGCAACACTGATAGCCGACATTATTACACATATGTCATTCGAAAGATGGGGCCGAGAACATTCAAAAAAGAAATAATAATGTATAAGAAAGTTTATAGTTCTAATGTAGAATTTTAAACTAGTTGGTATAGGTAT